TTTTATTCCATATTCAAAAGAGAGAAGATTGACTTAGAAGCTCTCCTGCTTTGCTCTGATCAAGACTTTAAGAGCATTCATATCCCGTTAGGGCCAAGAAAAAAGCTATTGGATGCGTGCCAGAGACGACTGGAGACTATGGAGGACCCAGACTCCATTGAAGACACTGAATTGTGAGTATTGTCAATTTTATTCTTTCAAACGTCTAAGCAATGAAATATTTATTGGATTTTAATCATCACACTCAAGAAAAAATGAAGAGCATTGTTTTTCAAAATTTCTTCTGCTGCCACTGAAATATTGACCAAATCTTTATCGTTGGATACAGAGCATGTACAATGACAGCAATACATTTGGGAAGATGCACTACAGCTACTAAATATATCGTAGTTGGCCAGATAGAGGTAATTGCCAGTGGCTGGTCAACAATCTGTTAAGACAAAACAAAGGCACCATTTCCTACCCAACAATGTAGAGCATGAAACCACCAAAACTGCATAGTTACAGAATACTAAGACACAGATGCCAAGAATACACTTTAAAAGGTAAAGTATCTGGCTAATATGATGGCACTTGTAACAGATACCCTGACGTTTTGTAAAGAGTTGGTGTATTTGTAAATGTAGGACCTCCTTTCCAGGCTTATTGTCTGGGGTGAGTTTAACCATAAGTGATGGATTTTATGCCTTCCTTTGGAAAATCAAAGCTTAATGTTTCAAGAATTTCCTTTGATTTTTAATTAATATTCAATTCCACAAAGCTGGTGTTTTCTCTGATTCCCATCTGAGAACTTTATATCACATCCATTCTATAAGACCAACTTCAGTAGGTCAAAAAATACACGTGCAAGTTATTTGCTTGGACTGATCAGTACTTAAATTAAAAGCATTACTGAAGTTTAGCAATGACTTTATGCATTACTGTAATACAGTATGTATCCAAGAAAGATAATTTGGAAAATAATTTAGAATGAAAATTAGAAATTTGAATGAAACTTTAGGTTTCCGTTCAAATGCAGTGTTACTATAAGAATGGAAATTTAAGAGATCACTTATCAACCTAACATTATACAACACCTCTGGCCCAAATATATTGATGTAAGCAGGCCTTATTCTGACAGTTCTTCTGTTTTATGGCACTTCAAAACCAATGTGACTAGACAAAACTTCATTTACAGTATATTCCTATGTAAGGAGAGGATAGTATATTTTTATTAACTTTTAGAGGAAATACAACTAAATAAATGAGGGAATCAGGATATAGCTGTGAGCAAAGGTCTAGTTTAAGGCACAAACTGATTTATCCCTGATTAATTGTTTCTTTGTGTTCCAGAGGGGAATTTGAACAAAAGAATTTGCAATGTAAACACAATGCAGTTTTATGTCTCTCCAGAATATAGTTAAATTATAGGAAAGATTCATGTCAGGCTTTAAGCATTTTCCTAGTGTCTTGATTATTTAAAAAGCATTTAAGCCAGGAATATGCTTTTAAAAGTTCAGCCAACAACAAAGATGTTGGTTTTCTGATTGTTTTACATGGGCACATTATATTCAATATTCACATGAATAAAATGTGTGTCACCTACTACCCTTTCATAAAGAAAAAAAAAACATTCCACATTATGTTTTTATTGATAAAATTTATTCTACCATCGAGAAGCATTTTCTTAACATGTAAAAAAACTCGACATATTAATAACAGTAAAAACATGAACTCTAAACTATGTTTTTGGTTTTTCCCACAGGTAATAGCAGCCGTGGAAATTCATTTTGCTGCATTGTGGGACATTATGGAATCAATCTTCATATTGAGCAGGAAGAACTTAGCAGTTTTTACTGGTGGGAAAGCAGACTGAATACTGTCATGGTTAATATGTCAACCTAAAGGAAATGGGTGAGATAAACATGATTCCTCCTGGTTGGCTTTGAAGGATAACAGAAAGTATCTTTCTTTGTTGTTTGGATAGTCGGTGTTGACTTCACAAACTAAAAGACAGTGTTCATTGGACAGCTTTTTTGCCATGTCATTGTATACAATGCTGTATCCACTGAGATAATGGCTCTAAGAGATATTGTCCCCTGTGGGGTTAATCCAACCACTTTATGTGCCTGTATTGTTTGTGCCTGTCCATTTGCTTAAAAAGGGGCGATGTTGATATGTTTATAAATACATAGACACAAACCTAAATCTAAGATTATATCTAATGTTTGACTAACCACTATTTGAAGCAATGCTTTATTCACAGTGTATATGTTTACACACAGAATGCCATGTTTGTCTAAATATGCTTCAAAAGGCATCGACGGGCCAATTGTTTGTCGAGATGACTGCTGTAATTTACTGTAGTGGTATGCATTGTATACCCCCTTTTCAAGTCTTCCAGTTGTTTTTACCTCAGTATTTTTCATTTACATCTGAACAGTAACATATATTACTACCAATCTCAAAAAAATAAATAAATAAAATGATTAGTTTTTTCAGAGTCCATCCTTGTAAAGATCAAGTGATTTTGTGCCTTTGTCTGCAAAGAGGTTTCTCCATCTCCACCGTAAATTTCGTCCTTTCTGATGTGGAAAAGCATAATTTGACAATACAAGAGACATGTCAAGAGGTGGGGGACAGCCAAACATGACATCCTGCAGAATGTCATGATTGCAAAAGATAACTTTATCTGGTTAGGTTAGGTTAGGTTAGATTAGGTTAAACTTTATTAATCCTGTAGGGAAATTGAGGTTGTCTGTTGCTCACACATTGGGTCTTTATGTGCTCACAGTCAGAAGGAATCATGCACCCAAAATTGGAATTTACTCTAAGCCTAGTATGATGTCACAAATTCATTTTCAGTTGAACTGCAGCCTCCTTTGGTATGCCAGCAATTGTTCCAACCCAGAGTTGTGTTTGTACACCCACAGCAGCTCGTATTTTCATATAGAAACCCAGGATAATTTGATTGTCATCATGTGAAATCAAACCCATAAAATACATCAAGACAATGTTTAAGACCATGAATGTTAATCAGTTAATTAAATCTGTTTAGTAAAAAAAGTGGAGTGTGACAAAGTGTAATATTCTTTTCATTTTCAAACAGATAAAAAAAAATACAAATAAAACTGTTGGCACATTTTAAACTTCTATTGTGCTTACATGTGTTGGTAAAATTAAAGGAAAACTTAAATAATTAAATTATTTATTTAATTAATGTTTAATTGTTGATTAAATAATTAGTGATGATGAGAGCAGCATAGTAATGTAGAATGCAGTAACCCATAAAAATGAGTTTGGATTTGTTTATTTCTAGTGCAGAGCAGGAAACCCATATATTTTATTGTCAGCATCTCTAAAACTCAATGCTTTATCACCACAGGTTGGTGTGAACTGAACCTGTAAAAGTTGTTCAACAAAAAATTACTGCAGTTTGTTTTGCAGATAGCTTGTGTGAACAGGAAGAAAAGTCACGCAAATTGTTCAAATCAGATCTTTATCAGGCAAATGATTTCTAAACACGCAATGCATTTTTGAGGAGGTTAGTCTGAATGTTCGACAAGTCACATCGTATCACAAAGTCAAAAATACTGCAGGTCTTTAATGTATTCCCATAAATTGTACAGAAGGAAGTTTAGACATTATGCAAATAGTATTAGAAAACTGCTAGCTAATTCTGATGCTATTGGTGATTAAACGCATTACGTATATAGACAGAAAATTATTTTTAAATTGTCTAATGTTAAATTTAGTTACAAGCTGAGTCATGATCCCAATATTGCCTTTCAAAAAATGATGTACACCTAAGCAACTAGTTTTCTATCATGCTCAAAATATGCAAATGAGTTCAGCGCTCTCCGGTTTCCCTCACTATGGCTCATACAAACGCTTTGGTCTCCCATGTCAAAGCTTCTTGAAGTCTATATGAATTCCTTTTGTTCAGACAAACCCAGGTTACATCAACAGTTCATTTCTTACTTATTTGTCACATATTTGTCATAGGTCAGAGCATAATACAAATTATAAATTTTATTTAGTGTAGTGAAAATTGACTTTACAAATTAGCCATACCTTTAACAAATTACCCCCCCAAAAAATAGGTGAGTGCAAGTTTTTTTTTCTTTCTTTTTTTTTTTTCTCTAAAAACCAATCAACAAACATAAGTAGGAGCAATTAACCAAATGAACCAAACATTGAGCTCTGGCAAAGTCTTTATTCATATAGGTTTTTGCTTTTATGATTGCAGCATGTTTTCCATTATTTTTCTTTTGTTTGTTTGTTTCTGTGTGTCTGGGAGTTTGCATCATTCATGTGTTTGCTGCACATTTTTACCTGCTGGCTACCTTACTCTCATCAGAAAGATCAACACTTTGACTAGTTAAATACATAGTAAACTCCGATGTATTCTCATTGGATATACCCCCTAAGAACCTACTTATTCACATGGGAAACATTTTAAGGTTCTCCTGATATTTCTGTCTCTGAGTTAGAGACAGCACAGAACAGAGAGAGAAAGAAATGCTATTGTGCTTACATTTTCTGCCAAATATGCAATAATCCACACTTGCTGCACACAGACAAAAGACAAGAGTCAGTGTTGTCTCTGTGCTGCATGATATGAAAGGAAGGAAGCCGTCATGCAGATAAGTACTGTAGTCAGGAAGCTCATGGAATTCTGTTATCAGAAGGAAAGGAACCATTGTTCTTAGCAGGAACAAAGTTTCAGTGAAGGAGAAAACTTAAACAAGTCTGACAACTGTGAAAAAAACAATTAGTGTCTAGTTTTGAAGCAGCTGTTTCACTGTGATATTTTTATGTCTTTAATAAAATGCATCTATTCTTTAACCGTAGTGAGGAGTCAAAGAAAAGTTCATTTCTCATCCCTTGAAGCATATTTCCTCATGTTCTGTGTTTTTTTTTTTCAAATGTAGCAGAAATAGAAACAAGGAGGGGTGAAAAATGAGACAGTTGACAGGCGTGGTTCCTAATTATTTCCTCACTCACTTCAGGGTCTTTCTATCTACAACTGTCTTTTGTTTCCTTTTCGAAGCTACATAATAGACCCTGTTCGTGCTTAAAATATACACCAGCTGGTTTTGTTTAAGGCAACAAGAAAGGCACTTGAATATGACGACGAACAGCACAGAAGTCGAGGAGGACTTGAGGGAAAAAGTGGAGGATCGGCCACCAAGCACGCCTCTGCTGCAAGACGTGATGTGTGACTCCTGCATGGACGCCCCCAGCAGAGCGCTCAAATCCTGCCTAACTTGTTTGGTCTCCTACTGCGAAGCCCACCTCAGACCCCATCTAGAGAAAGCTAAATTTCAGAACCATCGCTTAGTGGATCCCCTCCATGACATCGAGCGCCAGACTTGTGAGGTTCATCAGCTTCCCTTCAAGAGCTTTTGCTTTCTGGATGAATGCTCTATCTGTGGGGACTGCGAGGGTCAGGAGCACGAAGGACACGAGATGTTGTCTTTGGAGGAGGCTCGAGTACACTTTGAGGTCCTTTAAAAATATGAAAAACACACAATTATTGTTATGTACTGTTTCTTAATCTGCTCTTGTTTATAAAAACTTTTCAACATGTATTGCTATCTTTTTTTTAAATCATTTGTAGACTGAACTTCTGCAGAAACACCAGAGGATCAGTCAACATGTCTCAGATGTAGAGAGAATAATTGGAAAATTGCAGAGCAACAGTGATTTAATCAAGGTAAGCTTATGATTATAAAATCTTCTCTTCTCTACATAGTGAACTGACTGCATTATCATTTCTTTTTCCTCCTGTCGTCAGTCTTCAGCGGAGGAGGTTTGTGTTACTGCTGAACAACAGTTCAGTAGGTTGCAGAAGACTGTTGAGGAGGCCAGAAAAAAGTTAGAGGTGCTTTTGGAAGAAGAGCAAAAACAAGGTCTGAGACAAGCAGAGGGCATTCAGGCACATCTGGAGCAGAAGAGGGTGGAGATGATGAAAACTGCAGATAAGATGAAGAAACTATCCAAGAGCAAGTCTGATGTTGATTTTCTAAAGGTGCAGTGTCTCTCAGAGAACTACACACCTATGTTAAAATTAGAGGAATAACAAATATCCAGTCCTATCTGAAAATGAACCCTGAATTATGACGCTAATTTCACCATTTTACATTCTGTGCATGGCATTATTTTGCACTGTCCAGGGTTATTTTTGTGACAATCCCTTTGAAATTGTGACCCAAAAATAAGTAAATTTCATCAGATCATAACACCTTCTGTCACAAGCTTTTGGAAGACTACAGATTATTTTTTATGCCAATCTTTAAAACATTGTTAGGTTTGAATGTCTGTTTTATGTGTGTATCATAGTTTGTTGATTTTTTTTTTTGTGTGAAATATTTGCACCGTGGACATTTCAACTCGAATGATCTGATTTTGTTAATCGATGAAATTGGTTGATTCATGGGCCTTAATGTTTCTGAGATTCCACCTTGATCAATGATTTTATGTAAACAATTGTATTTATGTTTTGATTGTTATATTTTTAAATATAGGTATATCATATGCAGCAAAGCAAACATATGATGACGCTGACCATTAGTAGCTTTCTTAATCTCTATTTCAGCTTCAAAAGTGCAGAAAACAAGTGGGCAGAACAGAAGAAGGAATATTACAGAGTGTAGTGTAGGGTGTCAAAGGTTTTATGTAATCCGGGATGTGACTAAGAGATTCTATTACAAGTTTATTTTGAATACAAGCTTGTCGACAGTGCACATAAACATTTTCTGTGACTCTGCAGAAAACTATTGAAGTACCGGTTTATAGAAAATAAACTGTATGGGTTCCTCTTTTTTGTTTTTGAACGTCATAATCCTGATCCATTACATGCATTTGTTGTTTTCACATTCTAGGATTACACAGAGTGGAAGAAAGAATTGATCGACATACGCATGCCCACTGTGCACATCAGTCGAATGGACCGTCTACAGTCATGGGCTCAAGCAGTTACTGATGTTACTCAGGAGTTGTGTGACCTGATTATGGAGTCCTACAGTGAAAAAATTAACATGATCTCCAAAAGTGGTGAGTTAGTTTTAGCAGTGTGTTTTCAGGATCAGTAGAGAGGAAGCTATAGATCTCATCTCAGAATAAGCCTTAAATGTGACAGTGAAGTTCTGATCTATTCTTGCTTGTGTACTGCTAGAATAGCGTAATGTTGATATTGCAGAAGTGCTTGTTACTGGTTCCTATTATATTTAAAGTTGTAGGTTTTTTTTAAATGTGGCTAAAATCTGTGATATTCACTTTTTAAATCAAGCTGTTTATCTTTAGAGCATGTCAAAGTTACAGATGTGTCAAAAATCTTGAAAAATGTTATCTTTTATTGAAGTACTTCAATAAGCTCTGAGTGCATTGTACAATAACCCTTTGTCAAGGGAGCAGGACTCCCTCTACCTATAACATTTCACAAGCTTTGAGTATAAATCTTAAGCTATTGCTCTTTCCACAATCTCTCTGAATCACCAAGAGTCCTGGGTCCTCTCATATTGTCTCTTTTCTTCAGTTCTCTTAGTTTTCTGCATTTTGATACATTTTTTAATGCCAAATGCACCTGAAACGTCTTATGTGGAAAACCTGTAGTTTAAGCTATATTTTTGGACTTTTATTTTTTACCTTACTCTCCTCCACTTTTAAATAAGACATTTAGCCTATTGGCTAATGGCCAAAGCAATGGACCTTTGCATCATAGCATGTTTAATCTTCAGGGAACCGGAACGTTAACTACTATTACAAATATCTGAAAAGTATAATCAACCAAAAAAGTTAAGTATAAGTCAATTAAAGGCCTAATTACATTGGCCTCAAATTAACTTTAAATGGTGCCAATAATTATGTAGCTGAGATTTAATTAAAAAGCATATTTTTTTAAATCAAATTAAAAGTTGGATTTGAAGTGGCTGGAGTTCTATAATATTTTGCAACTGCAATAAAAGGTGAATTTGTTTTACTGCTTCTTACACTTATTTGTTAGTGGTGCCAGTAAATGTTGCAAAATTTAACAATCTATGATTAACCTTTCTGTCAAATCATAAAGCAGGTGCTAAACATGCGAACCAAGAATCTCTGCCATCTTCTCTTCCCGATCCTGAGACCGAGGAAGAATTTTTGACATGTAAGCACTTTTAAATCCTTTGTACCTTCTCATTTTCCGTCACAACTATAAAGTCAAACAGTTTCCCATAAAACAACATTTCCTGTTTCAGACACAACAAGGTTAACCTTTGACCCCGACACCACTCATTACTTCCTGCGTCTAACGGTGGACAACAGAAAGTTAACCAACACCAGTCCCTGGCGGCACAGCTATCCGGACCACCCCAGCCGCTTTGAATACTGGCGTCAGGCCATGACTTCGGAGAGCCTCTACCTGGGGAGACATTACATCGAAGCAGAGCTGAGCGGAGAGGGCGCACATGTCGGGGTTGCTTACAGGAGCGTCGATCCTAAGGGAGAGGAATGTGGCAGTTGCATCACCGGGAATGACTTTTCTTGGTGCGTTGGAAGGAACAACAGAGGTTTCTCTGCCTGGCATGCTGGGGAGGAGACAGCCCTGGAAGTCTCTGATGTAACCAGGGTTGCAATATATGTTGACTTTCATCGAGGCTTGGTGTCTTTCTATAACACAACAGGGCCTATGGTGCTGCTCCACACATACAACACTGACTTTATAGAGCCCTTGTATATAACAGCCTGGTTGTCAAAGAAAGACAATGTTGTGACTCTGGTTAATGCAAAATGATGACATTTTCTGCTGAGTTATAGCAGTTTATTGAGGTTTTATAATGGTCAAAAATGTTGTGTTAAAGGCAGCTATTTCACATGCATGTCGACAAAGGTGAAATTTACTACCATCTAGTGGTAGCTGTGCAACAGAATGTAAACGGAGGAGCCATCTCCAAATGAGGGCGTTTTGAATCTTGTGCAGCTTTATTGCTGCCACTGATGCAACGTGAATGACGGAAAGCAGACCACAAAAATCCACACCGTCACTTATTCTCTTTATTTGCTCTGCAAGTTTATTTGGTCATTAAACTTCTCATTGCCCCTCATCATTGTACAATCACATTGATAAGACTTAGCTGTTATAAATTTACAATCATTTTTAAAATGCATGTTGACATTTAATCAGGAAACTGCAAGAAAAATTCACTTCAAACTGTAAAATCTGTTTCATTCTCATCATAAGCTGGATTTATAAAGTGCACACCTGTCTGAGTCATGGAGATGGAATCAGTGCTATACAGATCAGAAATGTTATTCAGCATATCAGGTTGATCAAATATTGGGTTGTCAAATCCGCGGTCGGCGGCCCCGTTGAGATCATCGACATCAGTGTTTCTCCTGAAGCGGTTCAGAGATGGCATCGAAGGCATCGAAGGCATCTGGACAATTCCCTTATGGATTAGCACAACCACAATCACAATAAGTGTAACCACGAGTAAGACTCCAAACACTGCTCCAACTACTGTCCCTACGCTACTCCCAGGCTCACTAGCAGTCTGAGTATGAGCTCCTGTTATGCCCAGATTCAAGCCATGAGATTTAATATCCTTGATCATGTCCTGGGCCAGCTCTTCCGATAGTTTCCCAGTCTCTCCATCCAGAATAACTACTTGAATCTCAGGTGAAGATCCAAATGGGACAATTCTCATCAACCGCTGTGGCTTTAAGATTTTAGACATGCCCAGCTGAATCGACTGATATTTTGGCAGTGAAAGGAAAAGGTGATGGATTCGTCCCCTGTAATTTTCCAGATTGAAGCTATCAGAATAATGGATGACAAGTATTGCACCACACACCTCGCAGCAGTGCCCGATGGGAAGCAGATGCTTTTTACAGCTCAGAGCGCCACATGTCACTGTACTGCAGATGCGTTCATGGTTGACAGAGTTCCCACAGTCACAGCCAGTAGCATCCCCACAACTTGGGTTTCCAACAGTGACCGACGATGACCCGTGAAACTGCAGCAGGCCTGTTTGCGAGCTGAGATACTCGGAGAACTCGGACTTTCTGTCAAATACCTTTCCCAGCACAGATACAGATTTGACGGGGATGGTGGTCTGGCTGGAGCTGGTGTCCACACGGAAGGAGGAGAGGGGTTTGAACACGACGTCATCCTGCAGACAGGGAACGCTCTCCTCATGCACAGAGAAGAGGAAATGTCCATCCTGTAGATCATTCAGAGTTGCAGCTGCCTGCCACAGAGCCGGATTAAACCATTGCAGCGAGTCAGTGTCTTTGAACTTGGTCCTCACTCCTGCTCCGCAATTAGGGTCCTGTCCGCTGATCACATAAAACCCAGCTCCCGAATTCAGAATGATCTCTCCATCCATTGGTAGCATCATCTCCTGTATGGCATGAGTGGTCTCCACAAACACAGACACTTTTCTTTTAGATGAAAACTGAACTGTGTCACTGCCGCACGGAACGTCTCCTTTATCCCAGTTGGTCTTATTCTCGTAGTTGGTATCAGGAATCCACTGCTTGTAAAGAGCATTTGTTGCCCTAACAAGACAGCAGATGAGGAGCACTTGTGCCGTTTTCAGCATCTTGAATGTTTGTGCCAAAGAATGGAAAATGTTGTGACCTTTGATTCCAACCTTGTGACAAACATGAGAGCAGCACTGCTTACTGCTAAAGTTCATGAGCTCATCCTGTTCATGAGCAGCTGACTTGTAAATATTTACACCTTCTGCCTTGACAATCCGCCTTCATGAAAACCAGTTCAAACTATCCTCACTTTTGGATTTCTGTGGTTTAAAAAACAAAAAAAAGAAAAACCTTTTGGCCGGTTGATATAATGTGGAACACTTTCAACAGGTTAGGATTTTATGTTATGCATTGCACTTTCTTTCTAAGAGAAAAGTAGCAGTAGTCAGCCTTAGGTTAAAGTATATTTCTCATTGGGGGAATGTAGTTTGAGCTGTTTAATCATAAGCAGTTGCTGGAGATCATTTGCGTTTGTGCAAAGAACATGACCTCTGGTGGGTATATGACCTATAAAGTCAGTAAATTAATTACATTTCAGCTTAATCTGGAAATGTAAAGACACCTTAGAGATATTTGTTTAACACTTTTGACTGATCTGCACAACTTTTGGGGCTTTTAAAAAAGTTTTCTGCATCTGAGCAGAAAAATCTCCACTGCATGTTGCTGCCACCGCCTTATTTTATAGAGATGTTATGTGCAGGATCACAAAAAAGTTCAACTTTGGTGTCATCTGACCAGATCACCCGAGTCCCTGCATGGCTTCTCTGAATAACACTCTCCTTTCTCTCCTAATTTCTATGTCATGTCTGTCTTGGTATGAAGTGCTCTGAGAAACATTATCTTCAGTGCAAAAGGCACTTATCACACTGTAGGAGCTTCTGGACAAGGGCAAATTGGTCATGTCTGTCTTGGTGGTAAATTCCTCTACTTGCAGAGGAATTTAGAGTCCTGTAGGCAGAATATTATTTTAGAAACTAGATATTATTTAGTTATCTGAGCAAGGGGGGCTGGGTGAATGACGAGCCTTTTTGTTATTTTTATTTGTAAAGAGTTTAAAACTAACTATTATGTTCGGCTTAACAATTATGCAATGGTTTGAACAAGACTCTCACAAGCTACCCAATAAGACACACCGAGTCTTTTGGTTGTAAAGTGAAAATGTGGAAAAATAAGTTGTGAATACTGTTTCCAGGCAGGACTTGTATTGTTTAGTTTTTGTGGATTGTCCAAATGTCCAGAGTAAGCAGAAAAAAATTGCTGGCAAACCTTCCATGAAAATATTTCTAAGAACATGCGTGTGTGTGAATAAACCACATGAACCAGCCAATTAACCTGCAAAGTCTTTTGTTTAGATCAAATCCCATGTAGCTAAGTGGATGAGTATGCAAGTTACAATTTCTAAAAGGTACATGGGACTGGAAAGCCCCCCCACCCCCCAAAAAACTGTATATATTCTAAACAATATCCTGAATTTATAAGTGTCTCCAAGGTACAGTTTCTATTTTACTCTAAACAAAACCTTCGAGATGCACTTCTTGGAAATAGACATGCGTAAAAGGGGTGTGGTTAACCCAATCTCTCTCAGGCTAAGAAAAAATGGGGGAAAACATGCAAGACCTTTGCTAAAACTTTTTTTAATAGATGCACATACAAAAAATACGTGACTATACTATAGAGGGAAGCAAGGGACAAAATACATAATAGAGGCATAGAACAGTAAGGCTGAGAAGTAAAAATAAAGTAACAGAAAAATGTATATTTAAACACAGGTTATTTTTATGTTGTTTTATCTTTTTACTATGACCCTTCTTAACCCTTCTTATGTGTCTAGAATAAAGATATGATGGTCTGAAGTTGAAGTAGCCTAAAAAATACAGAGAACAAAATATAATGAGCGTTATTTTAAATTACTAATATCAATTTCAGATATCTTGAAAATGAATTTGGTGAAACTCATTTCATGCTTAAATCGTCCTGCCATGGTTAGCCTGTAGTGAAACATGGCTACAGGCGTGTTTCGTGTTAAAGCGTCTCATCAAGCTGACACCAATTGACCCAATTTGTCGTCATTTGTTACACCTTGTTCAAGGTAGCTTTGTAAGCTAAGCAGAGAAGAACAAGACTTTTTTTTTTTAGCTTTGAGACGTGTGTTAATGAACACACCGTCAAAAACTTGTTCAGCAGATCAGTGAAAGGAACATATTTTTCACTCAGTAAATATGAAGGAGTGCTCCTGTTGTACATTCTTTGGGTATTTAGCACATAAAAGAGAAAAAGGAAATAATCCCTTGTACAGGTGGCAGTAAGCTTAAGCTGTTTCTATCTACATTTAGGAAAAGTTGAGTGGAAGAATTAAATGGATAAGTAACGAGGATAGCAACAACCTTGCCTTGAGTACTGTTGAGGAAATAAAACTTAAACCTGAAGCTTTCTATTAGTTGTAAGTCAACAAAAAAGGAATTTAGGTTGATACATCATGGTTAATTAATCTAACTGCAGTTTTCAAATTAAACTACTAAAATAAATTATCTAAATATCCCAAAATATAAGTCTACCAGCTCTGGTAACTCTGTGGTTCCTATTGTCTTTGCCCTACAATCAGAATAATCTACATTTTCAAATGAAAGGAAAACCTAGGTCAAAAGGTATTGTAGCTCCATCTAGTGGCCAACATGGAAATTTTACATTCATTTGGTAAACAATAGCTCAAGCTCATGAGCTTGCAGTTCATATATCTGAGGACATGCTAAAGCATTTTTCTGCAAAGCATTCCAAGAGCAACACATAGTTCACAGAGCCATAGTAATATATATTTTTAGGACAATACAAGAAAATACAGTTTTTAAGTCAAGCACTGCAAGGTTCATAAATCAAAGCAAGAAGTCAAAACAAAAAGTCTAAAATAAACCTCTTGGTCATTTACATAAAAAACATCTCCACATCTGAAACGTTACATTAAACCACAATCTGAACAGACAAGACAGTGAAGTGCAAGTTAACTTTAAAGCATCGGAAATACAATAAATAATAATTAGAAATACTACCACAGTGTCATCCAAGATAATTTACATGCCTTTGCTGAAAAGCACCACATCCTCTATAATAAATATGACAATAGTTAAATATTTCTGTTACACTTCTTTGCTTTTTGAAAACGCTTCATTCTTCTCAGTGCTTTAACAAACATTCTGCTGTCTCAAAGTCTTAAAGAAATGTTCAAACATAGTTGTTTATGGACATTGATGATACTTCATACATCTTTAATCTTTCCAGGTCAGAAAGTGTTTGGTGCAACCATAATAATTAGAAGACAGGTCTAACACAGTGGGTTTTTTGGGGGTTTTTTTTCCCAGGAAACCAGCAGATACATCTAGAATAAGA